AGTTCTGCTCATTTCAATAATTATAAAAAATGGACAGATTTGTGTCATGCTCTTAAAAATAAAAACACTATTGATAGTATTCAACAAAAGCTTTTAGAGGTTGAAAAGCAGCGCTGGTACGATGTAATAAAAAGAATAATATATGTAGTCCAATTTTTAAGTACACAAAATATGGCTTTTCGTGGCCAAAGCCAAAAATTATATGATAGGAACAATGGTAATTTTTTAAAATGTATTGAAATGTTAGGAAAATTTGATCTCTCAATGACTGAACACATACGACGCGTAATGAATGATACGGATTTTAAAAATATGCCGACTTATCTTGGAGATAAAATTCAAAATGAAATCATTCACATTCTCGGTAAACAAATTCAAGATTTTATTTTAAATTTATATCAAATTAATAAATATTTTGCAATTATACTGGATTGTACTCCTGACGTTTCACACGTAGAACAAATTAGTATTATAATAAGATTTGTCAATTTTAATACAGAAAGTAGAAAGTTGGAAATAAGAGAACATTTTCTAGCTTTCTGTCCAATTGTTGATACAACTGGTGCTGGGTTAACGTCATTTATTATTGAAAAATTAAACAACATTAATTTGAATATAAATAATTTAAGGGGCCAGGGTTACGACAATGGATCAAATATGCGCGGTAAGAATAATGGTCTTCAGAAAAGATTGCTGGATTTAAATCCCCGCGCTTTCTATGTACCGTGTGCTAGTCATAGTTTAAATTTAATAGTAAACGACTCTGCCAACCTCAATCATCATACGACTGGATTTTTTTGTATTGTGCAAGAATTATATAAATATTTTTCATCCTCTGCTAAAAGATGGGATTTATTAAAAAAATATGTCATAAATCTGACCTTAAAACCATTATCTGAAACAAGATGGTCAAGCAGAATAGATGCTATAAAACCGCTTTTTACAAATTTACCAGAAATTTATGATGCCCTATATGAAATAACAAATAATTTATCATATGATCCGAAGGCAAAGTATGACGCTAAATGTCTAGCAGAAAAAATATGCACATTTTCATTTATTTGTTCACTAAATGTATGGCATATAATATTGACAAAAGTAAATTTTGTGAGTAAAATTCTGCAGTCCGTCGATATGAATTTGCAAGTTGCTTTAGACGCTTTAACAGATTTAAAAAAAATTTTAATAAAAATTAGAACAGACACAAATTTTGAAGAAATTGTAAGTGATGCCAAAAAAATTGCCGAAAAATTAGACGTCGAGACTGAATTTGAAACTTCCAGATCCAGACCCCTAAGATGTCGTAAAACTCCAAAGAATTTCGATTATGAACACGAAGACCACACTATAAATGATCCGAAAACCTCTTTTAAAATTAATGTATTTTTTTATATATTAGACCAAGCTTTATCCTCCGTAAATGAAAGGTTTAATTTATTGAAAAATCACAACGACGTGTTTAATTTTTTATTTAATTTAAGTGACGACCAAGATCAAACACGATTAAGAAGTAACTGTCATCTTTTACAGGAGAAACTTTCAGCAAATGATTCATTGGATATTAACGCCGATGATTTGTTTGAAGAAATAATGTCATGTCAGCCATTTTTCAAAAAATTAAATAATAATGTTGTGAAAATTCTTGAATTTATATATTTAAACAATTTGACAGCTGTATGCCCTAACATTACTATAGCATTACGAATTATGCTAACTATGCCAGTTACAGTAGCAAGCGCGGAAAGGTCCTTTTCTAAGTTAAAACTTATAAAAAATTATCTGCGCTCCACAATGAGTCAGGAAAGAATAACAAATTTAGCAACAATATCCATAGAGGAGGCCATACTAGACCATATAGACATACATGAAATTATCAAGGATTTCGCAAACAAAAAAGCGAGAAAAGTGGAAATATTATAATTTAAGTAGGAATATTTACATTCTTGCAAATGTTAAATTCTTGTTATTTTTTTAAACATAACATAAGTACGTAATAGTCATATATTAGTATTATTAGAAAAAAGTCAACTTTGTTATTAATATTTAAATATCTTTGTACCTATTAAAAAAGTATGTAAAAAATTATATCGAGTTTAATTTTTCGCAATAATTGACAATCAGAAGCGGACGGGACTTTCCTATTTAGTATCCTGACTCCTAAATGTATTCTAGTTTTGTACACTAAGAATGATTATCTAAGTACTGTAAAACTGAAGAACATTTATTTCAGTCAAAATTAGCAATTAAAAATATTCGTTAAAAATTTAAATTGTTTTTTATGAAGTGTCGTAAAAAAGAGGCGCTTCTTAGGTTCCGCACACAGGCGCTGCCGGGGGTCGGCGCGGCCCTGGCTATACGCCATCAGCAAACAAAGCGTATAATCACCTAAATAGTTTAGTTAGGTGCTGTTAATAATGTGTGAAAACCTATGATATATCTCGACATTAAGAATTTATGAACAAGCAGTTTGATATTTACCTAAAGCCCTACCCTATTTGATTCCTCAGCATCAATAGGTAAGGTAATATGGTAGATGAAAAGTAAATCACTTTATATCTATTGGAAAAAATTGAATCATAGAACCACATGACAAACAAAATGTGTATTTTTCAGTGCAATCACTGTATGAATAAAAAATCTAATAATTGTGCGCAGTGGTTGTGCAACCGAATGCCCCGCAACGTGTGAACAACTCTTTGTGTTATCCAAAAATTGTTGGTCCGGGTCTGGGCGACATGTATATTATGTGAGATTGTATGTTTGTAAACGCACCATAGATATAATAAAGTGGGACACAGGAGAAAATCCTAGTGTGGGGCAATGTTTTTGTAAAAACGTGGTTCACAGACACAGACTCCATATCTTAGTCCAGGGCTGTCCAAACTACATACCCTCGCGGGCTAATTAAATTTCTTACAAAAACTGGGGGGCCAGAAAAATATTTTCAGTTGTATAATGACGTTTAACATTATATTTTTTACTCACAGACAATACTTGTAGACAAATCATACACTGAATTTTATTATTGTTGTTACATATAAGATGAAGATGTTGAGATTAAAATGTGTCGCGGGCCACATGAAACCAAAACGCGGGCCGCATGCGGCCCCCGGGCCTTTGTTTGGACAGCCCTGTTTAGTCCATAGTCCATACATGTTTTATTTTTATGTCAGTCAATATTATAATTATCTTTGTATCGTACATACTACCTACCTACCTACGTACCTATACCCTGTACGACTAGTTAATGCCGTTCACATTCAACCTTACTCTATAGTTTTAATTGCAACGAGCTACGTATTTTGGCAAATTGAGATGGCTAGGTCAACGCGCGGTAACTACTTACCTACCTACTTTGGAATTTCACAAAATATGTAGGTAGGTAAGTATATTATGTACAATTGTAGGCACAGGCTGCTGCGACTCTACTTTCAAAATATAAAATAATAGAAAAAAAAAACAGTTTTACTACATACTTAAGTAATTAAGTACCTATTCTTAATTAAACAGCTGACGTCATAATTAGCTATTTTTTATTTTTGTGAACGAATGTGAGTACCATGGCGGTTTAAAAAGATGTTAGGCTGAACATGCTGACTTAGAATGTGTGATTAATGATCCTGCTGTATCATTAGGTACCTAGTTTGAGGCTACGTGCAGAATTATGTGATTGGCTGTAATTTGTATGTATTTAGTCTCTGACAGCAAGTAATGGTTTCCTATATGATTAAAGTCAAAATAGGTAGTCAATTATGAATCAGTACCAGCTCGGTTACGTAAATGCATGTGTTGATGCTGCCTAAAGATACCGTATACGTCTACTTTTGGCTATAATACTCGTAACTCCATTGTTCACTGTGGTAGAGAAAAAATGCAGGTATAATGTGTTAAGTCGCATGACCTTGACAAATAATCTAGCGTTGCAGTCAATTTATCAAAAATGTTTATAACTAGCGAAGTGAGCGAACCCAGCGAACTTCGCGCAGCTTTGTTAATATTTTTTTTCTATAACCCAATAAAACAAGACAGCGAAATCGGTGTAGGTGTTCTTGAGATTTGCGCATAGCAACACATTCAGTGATTCATTTTAATGTTATAGATGAGTTCTAAGACTTGAAACTAAATGAATAGATTTTTAAATCTTGTATGTTTGTGTATTTTATTTTTTCTCCCCGTCTTATTATCAATTAACTAGTGTTAAAAATGTATTGTTAAAAATCCCTCGTTAGAAGTACACACGCCCAAATCTTTAACGAAAACGGTCATCTAAGTGTGGGAGAGCCATGCTTCGGCACGAATGGGCTGGCTCGACCGGAGTGATACCACGGCCTCACAGAAAACCGACGTGAAGCAACGATTGCGTTCTGTTTCGTCGTGTGAGTGAGGTGCCGGAGGTCCAATTACCCTCCCCTTACCCAACCCCGATCCATTAAAACTCCTAATCCCCAAAAGGCCGGTAACGCACTTGTAACGCTTGTGGTGTTCCAGGTGTCCACGGGCGACGTCGATTGCTTAGCATCAGGTGATCCGTCTGCTCGTTTACCGGCTTAAGCCATAAAGAAAAACGAAATTAATGTCTATATTTTGATTTAATTCGGTATCAGTTTGTACCTCTATAGGTAGTTTCGAAACATTACGAAATTGTGCAATTCAACCACGATATAGCAACATATTGTGCGATTGAATTGACTTTAAGGATACACCAATAATCAGTGTTTCCTGGGGTTCATAAGGTGTTTTATCCTAATTTTATTTCTGTTTTCTGCATTCCTAGTCCCAATGTAAGCTCTTGGCATTTCATCCTTCACCAAAGCACTCACGTGTGAAAAATACCGACACGTTATTAAAATCTTGCCATATAACATTTAAAACTTGGCATTTGACATAATTAATATTCCGAAACAAACAGGCTCATTGATAAATACACATATTATTAGAACGTAAATAAAATATGCGCGAATAAACTGGTAGGTGAATAAAACAGGATTTTAACGTTACAGAGTGTTGGACTTGCTGAGCTCGAGGCGGGCTCGCGCGCCCCGGGAATGCGGTCGGTGTTATGCGACCTGACGCTGCTGGGGTACCACCTCGTGATTTGTCATTTCATTGGCGCCATCGGGGATCTGCCCGTCTGCGAGCGAATACTACACAAACAGTTAAAGGTGACCCTTCTTACTTCTGACCTAATATTAAACGCCCTTTAAATAAACCTGTAGGCTGTAACAGAGGAAATATAAAACAAAGTCATATTTTGTTATTAAATTAAGATCTTAATCCGATTTTTACTTGACTGTAGTTTTTTGGAGGTTTATTTTTTTATTTGTTCTCAATTATCGCAAAATGGGTGACATCAGTAACTTTACTACTTATTTGAAATGGACTATCTGTAATATTTTATTGATCAACAACGTGAAGGCATAGGATTAATTAAAAAATAATAATTTCAGGTCTTCCCGGAGAGCGTTTGGTTCCTCATGTTCAAAGGTCGTATCGAGTTGATACGCGGACAATTCGATACTGCGATTGATACTTACAATCGCGCGGTCACTAGTCAAAGGGATTGGAGACAATTCCACCACGTATGCTTCTGGGAGATAATGTGGGTGAACAGGTGAGATAATCAAATTATTATTGTCACTGCGTAATGAATAACCGAATCGGTATCTTAGTGTGTTCGTCTCAGGAACCCGGATGCCAGCCACCGTTTTTAAGATACAAGTTATTTTTGTAACTGTTGGTATTAGCGCCTGGTAATGTGTTTATAATTGATTAGTTTGAAGATGGATTGGCGCGAGTCTGCACTGTACGCGACCAGGCTGTTAGAAGAGAGTACTTGGTCTAGGACTATATACTCATACTCAAAGGCAGCCATGTTGCTGCAATTAGATGACATCACCGTTGCCGAGAAGAAGCAGTGTTCTGAACTGATGCGGTAAGTAAACCGGACTCAGTTTAGAATTTAGAATTGTTAGAATTTTATCTGAATATAATTTAATGTCATTCACATTTGACTGTGTCGTTAGTAAGGTTATCGTAACTCTTCAATATTCCTAGATAAAATATTGTTCGGTGTTTGGGCTTCCGGAAATTAGTAGCACAGAGTCTAAAATATTGTAAAACGATAGGCAGACCTGATAAAAGTCGCAGGGAGCCGCTGGCAGTCCACTTCCAACCGACCTATCTGATAGTCATTGGGTCGGTTTGATGAGCAGCCAAAGCCAGTCAGGGTTCATACAAGTTATGGGCCTATTATGATTTATAAGTTGGTAAATATTCGTTGAAAAGCGGTGGTATGAAGTTTCGTATTTATATGCAGGTCCGCGAGTTACTACAAACAACGTATCGCGGGCAAGTCCCTGCCGATGGAGAAGTTTGTAATAAAGCGAGGTGCGCGCTACCAGGCGCAAGGCGGCCGCCTTCTACTGCCTGCCATCGAGCTCCTCTGTCTCTGGAACATGTTCCAGATACTCGCCAAGAACGAGAGAGATGCACAGAACGTCCTCAAGGTATAACGTCATGTTCATAATTCTGGAAACTTGTTTTTCTCTATCAAATAGGTACATAAAGATCAAAAATTTCTTGTTTCCATTTGATAGGTATAGTATATTAGAACTTCTAAGAAATGTAAATCATTAATTGATTTATTTTACACAAGTTTTCATAATTCTTCTAGCTAATTGAAAATAAATAAGTTTGATAGTAATTATAAAAACTATATGATCGCAGTTCTTTTTTATTTTTTGACAAGAAATTAGACGTTTTTGTGTAGGTTTCATTTTGGCAGGTAGGAAATATTTGAAGTTATTACAAAATGTATTGTATTACACAGTTAATAGAGGCTACTATCGAGCGCGTTGAGAACGAGAGTCGCGAGTGGATGGCTGGCTATGAAGCGGACAACCGTGCATTACTGCGGTTCCTGAAGGGTAGTTGCCTGGCCGCCATGAACCTGCCACGCCTAGCTCTCGACACCTTCGACGCAGTCTTCCAGTAAGTATACCATTTAATACTCAATCCAAACTCTCATTTATTTATTTATTTATTTTTATTTATCTATTTATGCACAACACACAGACAGTACACAGGAGAACATATATAAATATTTTGGAGGTACATAGGAACTACATATTCCCGAAGGAATCTCTTCCTGCAGTCCTTCGACAGGAAAAACGGTAAAAAAAAGAGACACTGTGCGTAACATGACATGAAATGTGTTAAATAAATAGATCACAATAAAATACATAGACCCATACATACATATAATAGATACACATCAAATAATACACATATTAGAGTATATTACAAATAAACATATTATACATATATATATATATGACACTAATTTGAACAAGATGAGGAAAGGTAGTCATTCTTCTTGCCTTACTTAACTTAGTCTTGATTTTAAACTTCAATCGATGCTCGTGGAGATCACGACAAATCTTTCTTCTGAAAAGGACGCCTGTAGTCAACAGACAACTCTCACGGGTCATTGATGATGTTGTTGATGTGCACACTGAACCTTAAGTCTGGATATTATTTTTTTAAACACAATATAATGATGTTTAAAATGTTATCAGGCAATTTTTTTAAAAAGTGTACCAGCTCTGTCATAACAGGTATGATCAAGTATGGTAAATACATTAATGGTTCTATTAGCTTCCTTCCTCTATCCTGACTTTTCCTATTTGTATGTCCTCCTTCTACTGTGGCCGTAGCTTATTCTGTTATTAATTTAGTTTTATTTTATTACTATAGCTTCAAGAATGACCTAAAAGAAGATACATTCTTGCTCCCTTACACGTTGTCTGAGATGGCGATGTGCCACTATCAGCTCGGAGACAGAGACCGCGCCCTACAAATGTTACAGGAAACCAGGTTTGTAATTCTGCTTCAAATATATTCGTCAAAAAATATGTCAGTCAGTCAGATGTCATAAATGACCACGTAAAAAATCACAATGTCGATTTTATGATATTAACTCATTAAGTCTCTCTGTCTCTATTTATTCTATTTTACTCATTTAAGAATATCATTTATAAGCATTACATTTTTCTTCATATTATAGAAATGAATTTAGTGTCAGTGTAACTGGTTACTCGATTGGTATAATATTACTGCTATTTGGTATATTATTATTTGTTTACTTGCAGGAAGAAGTACTCGGGGTATTCGTTGGAATCTCGCCTACATTTCCGTCTGCATTCGAAACTAGATTATATAAAGAATGGCAGCCATGGAGCTAGTACGAGCCGGAGTGGAAGTTCTTCCTAAATCACCCAGGATGGGATCTCTCATATGTTCTTGTAGCATAACTACTGCTTTCTCATAAAACCACATGAATCTCTTGCATCCGTCTACAACTTCTTATTTACCAACATTCTGCTTGCATATACAAATAAATGTTGTATGTAATACAATCCATTTAATATTATATTAAGTAATTTATATCATAGAATGCATATGCGTACTAAATCTGCATAATATGCATAGAATTCTATTGTTTTTGATGGTTTTTGTATAAATTGTAAATTATTTTCTCATTTATATTAATTACTTTGTCTTCTCGACGTATATTGTATATGATATGTTTATTTACTAAGTATACATTTTAAGGACAAACCGGTCGAATTATACCCTATACAATATAGTAGAAAGCATTTAGATAGTAGTCAATTACTTCCATAAGTCTAGTCTCAAAGTACAAGCTTAAATAACAATTGTATGGAAACTTTTTGCATATCAAGGACAAAACTCAACAATGGCTGCAGTGAGAAAAATCTCATTTATTAATTAAGTTAATTAATCACCTTGTGATAAAAACGGATCTGATTTTTTTTACTATCAAATAACTCTTTAGGTGATTAAAATTTTTACATGTATAAATTAACGAAATCTCTAAGAGTAGAAATAAAATCGAGGATTTACCAAGAATTTATGATTTCTCTTCAGTAATCAATGACATCTGTATAAAGGAAACTTATTTACATTTTAAAAATGTCGTAAAATTGCAAGATAATTGTGTTATGTCATAAGTGGTCCAATTTAATTGGCCACACGAAGACAATCTGAATAGTCATTCATATTTGTATAGTAGTAGGTTTACAAAAATCTCTTACTTTTGTTACTTATTCATGTTGTATTTTATTGTTTTATTATTATTTTTTGTTATAATTTATTGACTGCATCGTTTGTCGCGTTTACACGCCTCGATCGGTGATGAATTTTTTTTTATATTGAGTAGTAAAATATTCCACTACTTACTTTGTAATTATACGTAACTGACATAAGATATTGTATTGTATCCGCGTCTTTATAACAATCATGTTGTGTAATCGTTGGCAGCTAGCTAATTTGCGTAGGTAAAGGTAGAAGCAACTAAGTATTCTTTTTATTTTTCTCAAAATATCTTCTTATCTCCAAAGATTTCATCTCATGTCACAACTCCAAATAAAATATGCTCTCTATTACATATGTAGTGATAATTATTTTGAATAGTACAATGGTGTATGTTAAACACAATCTCGTAGTAATCTCGACCTCTTCACAAGGAAGATCCCGAACAATATGTTATTATTTGACATCAGTCTGGCTTTAAAAAAAGTACAATGAGATGATTACAATTTACATATATTAAATAATATTACAGCTAAAATATTTTCTATTGGTGTAGCTAAACAATGTTGTTCTCACATTCATGTGCACAATTCATGTCTTATATAGTTTTCCATGGTAAAAGTATGTGACGATGTGACAAATAATGTCCAAACAGCCAGTTTTTAGGAACAATTTATATAAATTTTTGTATGGGCTGTGAACGACATTCATGCAAACTTGTACTATAAATAACCAGGAGATACAATGGAGGTACAAATACTCCTTTATCATGATATGCATCACTGATAGGTATGTCACGTTTAGTTGTGTGCCAGGTCATGCATAGGTGAGGATTGCGTTATGAATATTTTTGCGCTGTATTTTTGTTGTTTATTAATGTTTTTTGTTTAATTAATGGTGTGATAATATTGAAGAGGTGATAGTAAATAAGTATTACAATTTAATTATGTATTTAGGGTATATATTTTTTATATAAAGAACTATGCAAATATCTTAAACTCATGAAGTCTTCATGCTTCTTGTTACCACGAAGTGTGAATCGTGCTGGTACGGTAAAATATTGACTTGTAGTTCTTGTCTTATATGATGACAAATTGTAGCAAAGACATGCTCAATCTCATGTCTTAATCCACTGTAATAATTATACTTAATAAGTAATCACGTATGTAATCAGTTAGACATACCTAACCTGACTATATCTACAATTTCCTTGTAACTTTATGTATGTAACCAATGTAGTATCTAAAAGTTACCATTATTCTAATTTTAATGAGTCATACATACGACATATCTTCAGAAACTGTATGGTATGTGTTTTATTACTATAAAATACTATTTAACCGACTTCAAAAAGGTCTTTGAACAATCCGTGTTAACAATAATAGGTATTCAAATTAATGGTAATATGTATTAGATTTTCGTTAAAATAAATACAAAAATAGTAGTACCTAACTGTAAATTTAATTAGTACAAATCAACACAAAATATTGTTTAGGTCAAAGTGCTTCTAAACAGGCAATACTTTTATGCTACATTTGAATTTGACTTCAACGCATTGACTATTGCAGATATATCCTAAATATTTAAAAAGAAATATTACCTGTATAGAAGCACATTACAGTATACCATTTTTATCTATTGATGTCTATAAAATTAGATTTCTACATAGTAAGAATATTAATCAACCGCTCTGGAATCGCATAAAAATTCGACCATGTTTGAAAATTAATACCGACTTGTACCAATAGATGGCGCTACTGAGTCAAATTTAGCAATCCAAGATGCCGCGCCAGCAAGATGTCCCATGTGACATTATACTCGTACGTTTAGTAGGTATTCGGTAATTATAATTATTCGGAGACCGTAATAACTCTAAAGGTTCCAATATTGGTATTATATAATCTGTCTTTTTGAAAATATTAATGTCAATAAAGATTTGAAATAATATGATGTTGTATATTATTTTTTTTACTTTATTTTTTTTTATTTTTTAAAGGTCTGCATTTCGAAACCAAACCTACCTTCTCCCAAAATTACTTGAGTTCGGAGCAATATTGTCTTTTTACAATTTTATTGCATTTTCGCATGACTAAGCTACTCCCATGCGATTTTCCCTCTGTTCGACTCGATCGTAGCATGATATTTTATAGCCTTCTTCGATAATTGGCGATCCAACACAAAAGTAATTGTTTTAAATGTCCAATTTTGCTCCTTTACGGATTTTAAACTATAGTCAGTAAGAAACTTACACTCCCTTCCACCTCACCCAAAACGAGAGAAGTCAATGGATGATTTTGCCCCTCAAAACAAATGTACCCAGACCCAGGTATATTCGCTTCGTACTCGTAATGAAAACCATAGCATGTATATGATGTACCTAGTAAGTATTCGGTGTTACCAAACAGCAATGTGAACTATTGGATCGCAAAACTGCTGCAAGCTTACAATGCCGTGTAACCATCACTGTGAAAAAGGCACAATGATGTATGCTGTATCTGTGTCAATGGCATCAGTCATCAATTTACGCCGCCGCCTTACCAAAATTGCACAAAATCCACATACACAACAATGACATTTTTTGCTAGAATTCTTCACATCAGTCACAGGAATTTACTGGAAATAGGCGAGGCCTCCCTCAATCTTCAAGATCGTCTGTTGAAAGCGACTTGAACCCAGCGGCTTCCTATGCGGTGCAACATAAAGTGTGTAGGTAAGTACCTACACAGAAAGAAGTACCTACCTACCAAGTGGTAGGTATCGTTAAATATAAGTGTAGTGCAGACAAATTCGTTTTTTGCGATCATCGAATACCTACGTACCTACCTAAAGCATCAAAAATTAATTGATATGTGGGTTCAACATCACGGAGTTACAAATCAAAACTTCGAATAGATTACCCCTATACCTAAGGAATGGAGTACTTACTCTTTGGAATATAATCAGATTCTAATCATAGTGATGAGGACACACCACGACCTCGTTACTCTACCTATTTGATTACAGTTACAGGTCTCACTTTGCTACTCATTTTTTCAGATTAAGAAAGTCTGTCGCGAAGGAGGACGGCCCGGAAAACGATAAGGCAATCTAATGACTTCCTATAACGTCGGAAACGCAATCATGATGCTTCTAGTTTTGCAAGCTACAGTTACAGTAGGTATAAAAAGAAAAACAAAACGTAAAAAAGCTACATATATATAAACAATGATACAACAGCTCATTGTAGTTAGGTATCCCTCAAAGTCTAATGAAATGAGATATTAATGACAGTGGAAGTCTCAGTAAACTGTCGGAGACTGAATTTCAGCTGGCTTGTTTCCTACATCTTAGCTAGCTACCCACTTTAGCTAACATTCGACTAAAACGTGAACTCTATTTGCATGTTCTTGAGCCGTGGAGAACGTAACAGGTTACAGGGGCTACGGCTCGAAGTGTAGGTACAGAAACTGGGCGGTGTTTAGTCTAATAGAGTCTGATACTCCCTCTCGCCTCACCGCACGTTGAAGTGGAGAAGACATTTGATGATATTGCCCTCTCAAAAAATACACGTTCTTATGAGAATAAAATTTTTAAAACACAAAATATGCTTTTACCTCTTTTCGAATTACCTTTGTGGCAAAATGCATGGCCGTCGCGTTAAAAAGCTAAAATGATTTTAGTTCGAATTTTATATTGACGTCAATCAGATTTGTACAATACAAATGAAGACAAAAGAAAACCGACTAGCCGTTGGTGTTGGACGTGACTGTCGTAATATTGCGACTTGTGATCGGATTCGTAAAATAATTCCTTAGAATACCAATTACAAAAAGAAAAATGAGTGAGCCAATGAAGTCCGTTTCTGCCATGAACAAATTGTACATAGGAAACTTGCCAATAGAAGCCGATGAAGCTGCAGTAAGACAGCTATTCGCTGAGCAAAATCTGACTGTTGCCGATATCTCTGTGAAAAGAGGTGGTTATGCCTTTGTCGACTTTCCTGATCAATCAGCTGCTGATCGGGCGATCGATAAGCTGCATGGTAATTACATACGTACCTTACCTTACCTCACTAATATTAAACTCATTTCTCAAATCTTATGTTTATTGGTAACCACCATTGCATACGTTATGGGTTTGTTACCTATTTATTTTTACCTGGACACTGGTCAGATATTATTATGGTTAATTAATTAAATAAATAACCATAATTACATATCTACTTATCAGCATTTTATAGTTTTATGTAGTTTGTAGACTTGTTACTTGTTTAAGTACATGCGAATTTAAACTGCTTCAAACAATTGTTTCTTTCAATCATATTTGTATTGCTTTTCTTATTTCAGGTTACTCGTATTGTGGTCTACCACTGATCGTGGAACCATCGGTGGCTAATAAGAAAATGTAAGTACCACTGTTGAACATGTACACAAATTGAAATGGAACCAAGCAATAATCTATTTTCCACAATAATCAAGTCAAATCTTCTGGAAGGGGAGTAGCTTTCTCGAATGATCTTTCCCCCGTAAAGTAGCACTGTTGTTTACATGATACTGGACTCTCGACGCATTGTTCACTTGGAAACAATGGTTAATAAATTCGAGACAAATTCAACTTTCTAATATTTTCCAGATCTGTCTAAGACGATTTTTTGATATCGCTCACAAGCAGATTATGACTGAAGCGTGTGGTGATAGGGATGACGAAATACTTCTAATGTATGATAATTTAAAGAAAACGTGTTATAGGGCATAATTTTTTTTTTTTTATTACCGAATCAAAATCTTTACAAAGATATATTTTTTTAATATACCTTGACGTTGTTATTTTACACCCTTTATGACAAACGATGATAATGAGCTCCTGAACTTTCTATTATCTTATTTCGTTAATTTAGTATGTCTCACGAAAAAGGACTAACAGATCTGAAATAGATGTACTTTCAATTATTAACAGTAACTGTGAGGCGTGCCTTCTTTTAGTGAATAAAACAATGATAAATGCACAAATTGTTACCTTATGTAAATAACAAATATCTAGACAACTTCTGATGCTACCTGTAGAGATGTATTTTTAATTATGTATGGAAGGTGGCAGGTTTACTCAATCTTCTTGCATTTTTTAGAGTCAACGTACCCAATCTCCAGAGCGCGAGTACCACTCAACTGAAGGAAGGCAATAATGACGCTCTCCCCGGCGGTTGGAGGTAAGTGAGCTTTCATATTTCTACGCTAAAACCCATTAAATACTTACAGGTTGTGGAAAAAACTACAATATGACTTCTTTTGATGAAACAAGGGGTAGCCCTGTACCGGTTTGCGAGAAGCGAGGACATTGCGTTCTTTAGGTACTTGTTTTGGTGTTGTCGTGATTATGCAATTATCAAAGGTCACTAAACCGTATCAAAGTTATTTATTAATATCAATTATTCAAATAATTCCTTTTGACATTCCATGTTTAAACTCATTTGAGTTATGTTAAAACTAATAATTTGAAATCGATTACATATATTACCTACTTCAATATTAGTGAAAAATGGGTGTTACATTGTACAGTAGCATAATGTACACCACGATAAAAGGTGTGATGTTATGTTATTTGACTACTGTTGGAATTAGTTTTAGTATCCACATTGACACTTCAATATTATGAAGATTATAAGTTCCATTTTCCACTTGTACATAAACGTACCTAACACTGAAATTGAAATAAAATAATAAAAAGCATTTTGTTAAGAACAAGCATACGTATTGAAAATAAGATTGTTTCTTATTACCAACTATCTATTGACTTCAGAAGAGCACTATACCATCGTAATACCGACTGTACTGGTACTTCACCGTAAACGTATTGCTAGCAATAAATGGAATGTTATTGCAGTTAGAAGTGAATGCTGAATTGTTGACGGAATGGAAATGTCGTGATAAAGTAGTAAGCAAAGGATTACATGAAACAAACACCATTCTTAATAGTCATTTTCTTACTAATCGTTTGTATAAGTATCGAAGTCCGAGTTTAGACTGCTAAGCCGATATATCAGTATCACCCCACATTGTTTTGTTTGGTAGTTTTAAGTCGGTCCCAGACTTGGGTCGTCAGTGTCGCCAGCGTAATGATATAAACAGTATTAACTACTGTTTTTTTACTTCAAAATACTGTTGTGTAGCTATAGTGACATAATTGTACATTATGGGTGCGTCCATCTTACAGGCGGAATATTGGGGGAGCGTCGCACCCGTGCCGTGCGCCCTTTTAATACGTAA